TCCTCTTTGTTGGAGTAGTGTTTTGGGTTTTGTGTAAGGCAAAATCCCTTCGGAAATGCAAAGTTTTGAGGAAGACTTGCTTTGGTTTTGTCAAGCTGAAATGACTGAAATGTGCTCGAATCCCTATGGACTGAGTTGACATGTTTGTGTTGAATCCTCTTACAAGTTGGGAAGTCTTGACTAATATCAACTAAGAACATTGCTTTCAGTATACCTTACCCTTTATCCAAAAGTGACAGATGCAACACTTAAACTGGCTACACTACAAAAAGTACAAATCTTTGGTAGTTAGTGGTGAAAGGTATGGCTCCACAATGGGCTCCAGACTTTGTCCATAGCTAACATCATGGCCTCATGGTGCAGTGACAATGGAACTCTTAACCCTGGAATGATGAGGCCTGGAATTGTGCGCAACTATATTGTCCATGGCGTGGAGATTGTAGGGAAGCATATGTTTGCAGTTGTAAACTAGATGAAAGCTGCAGAACAAGACCTTGGGTTTGGAAATTCCCTCTCTGTTTGGCTTGCAGGGCAAGCAACATCTTTGCCTGTTCAAAGGATCCACTCCAACTACTTATGTGCTGAAAAACTTTACTCTGGGCAAAGATTTTTAATTTTCTCTCCCATTCGCGGGAGAATATTGCTCTTAATTAACTACTGTTAAATAGTACATTGCACCATGGTTTAGAACATTTAGGGGACACATCTAATGATGGAATACGGTGGGTCTTCCTGAGACGACCATTCTTATTGTTTTTGCTTTCAAGACAGTATTTTGCTTAAAGGAAACTTGCTGTTGCTACAGAGTAGTTGGTTGTTTAGAGAGCCACAACTTTGTAAATAGGGTGTTTGCAAGGCAATGTTTTTGTGTTACATTTTTCTCATAATATGGCTAAATCTGCAACACGACAGACACTTGTTCCACTATGCAATACTTCTTAAAAAATTGTGGTAATATTGTGAGAGCCACTTCAAAAAGTTTACCAAAATTATGTAGTACGTGTTAAAATGATTGCAGCAATCAAACAAATTGTCATTTTTCAGGCATCTTGCTGTACCAAACATTGCTAAGTGTAACACTGCATCTATATAAGAACAAGTAATTATCAGAAATAAGAACATAATTATTGGGTGTGCTTTCTATATCTTTTCTTAATGAGTATAGTGTATCTGTGTCAGCACTGCCTAAATGAAACGTTTTCAGCATTTATTTTATATGGTCTTTTATCAGTATTTTACACAATAGAAAGATGAGGCATTTCTTACTTTCAACTCTCCGGCGTCACCTCGTGGTCTGCTGTTTACTTTCGAAATAGGCTTTATTTTTTAGTTTATTGGCCAAATATCGAGTTAAAAACAAGCAAGAGCATTAATTTACTGATAGAAGTCATAGAAAAAGCAAGGTTTTGGAGGAAAAAAGCTAATTCACTTCGAATTCACTGGGCTTGAATAATGTGTGTGGCAGACATAGCCGATTGCGACTCGGTGAATTGCACAAAAAGATTCCTACTGTTTTCCTACCTCGATTTGCGCGTTTGTTTTGCTCGCTATCCTCCAGAATCCTTCAAAATAATTTGCTTGACGTGTATTTGGTCGAAATTGGTCAACACAAGCTTTTGTTCTTCGCAAAACTCACGACGAAATGCTCCGCTCAACGGCCACAAGTTTTGTCTATTTAAAAAGATCATTAGTTGAAACTCAAAACGCCCCAGGGGCTGGAACTAAATTTCGAGCAGTCGGAAGTAAAAAAAAATTTTGCGAATTTTTTCAGAGGTACCCAATTACTGCTTTCTGTAAAATGTCTGTGCAGAGTAGCAAATATTGCCTAAAATTTTCTATTACCTGAGAACGGCTAAAACTTTCTCAGTGACTATCCCATTCATGTCCAAGTTTCAAAGCTTACCTAATAAAATCCCGACGATTTTCTGAAGTTTAATTTTCCACATTTCATTCCCCAGGTTTGGCTATAAGTGAAAAAAAAAAAGGGATGAAAAGGGGAATTAGAGAAATTCTCACTTTCGTAAAAGGTTAAATTGCATGTGAAATACGTAAGTTGCCCAAGGATGACCGAACAGATACAAATTTAAAAGCGCCGCTTAGAATGCATTTCTAGAGATCTAAAACTACAGCTGGATAGCGTAAGAAGAGTTTTCAGTGTATTTAGGAGGAAACCATCGCTGGGTGCCCCTGTTTCTTTCGTTATCGTTCCTGAAGGAAAGAAAATTTGTGGGACTGGAAGACATTGAGATAAACATATATGTATATGCCTTTTTCCTAAAAAAAGATCTGTTCCAAGAATGTAATTAAATTACTCAAAATAAGACACCCAACCGGTACATAATATGATCAAGTAAGTGAGTTTGGTCATTTTTCCAAAGTCCTTGAGTTTGGTAAAAAAGTTGACGTTTTTCATCTTTTGTGTTTATCACAAATAGATGGTCAAAAAGTGTTTGCTCACGTTCTGAATAGAAAAGAAGCCTTTCAAGACTATTAGAACATCTCTTTATGAAGAACTCAAAATTTTCTTTTTCTCCCATCGTTTTCGTCAAAAATTTGAAATTTTTTCAACTTTTCGTTTTAAGCAAAATACCCCGAGAAGGAGTATTTATTTTTATCCCAAATAGACCAAGAAAAAGTACCTGGGGACGTTTTAGTTAAAAGGAGGTTTTTCTTTCACACCCTGTAATCCCTTGTAACCCCCTGTAACCCCCTGTTTTCCCTTGCAAGCCCCTGTAACCCTCTTTCGTTACCCACTGTAACCCCTTGTAACCTCCTGTAACCTCTTGAAACCTCCTGTAACCCCTTGTAATCCTCTCTAACAACTTGTGATCTCCTGTAACCCCCAGTATCCCCATGTAATAGATCGTGAAAATACCATTTTTGACGTTTTATATAAAAAGACAAGCCTTCCTGGACTAAGAAAACATCGGTTACCGGGGTTAGTCTGGTTTTGGCCAAAATTTTGAGATTTTGTCAACTTTTCGTTTTAAGCAAAATACACCGAGAAAAAGTACGTGGTGACGTTCTCGTTAGAATGCAAACCTTTCTAGACAATAGTAACATGGATTTAAGAAAACCGCAAAATTGGCATTTTTTGAAAGGGATTCGTTTATGAGTTTGATAAAAACCTTGACGTTTTTTCATCTTTTGTGTTTATCAAAAATAGATCGAGAAAAAGTGTTTGCTCACGTCCTGGATAGCAGGGTGTCCAGTTCCTATATTTTCTAGCCTATTCCTATTTTCTCCTATTTATTAACGAAAACTTTCTATTTTTCCTACTTTTAGTTGGTGAAGCCAAAATTTGTAACAAAATTGAAAATGGAATTAAAGCGGAGCTCCACGCGCGTGGGCAATACCCCATAGCTAAGGAAATCAATTTGGTAATCACGTGACCGTACACCGCCTGTCCGTCCGAACCACAGACAAGCAATGTTCAATCTCATAGTTTCTAGCTCGTTTGGGAGCACAGGAAAGCTGATAATGCACACATTTTGGACATCAATGTTGTGATCAATTGACAGCTGTGAAAACAGGGTATCTGCTGACCAGTATCACTTGACCGTATCGGGGGCTCAGGTGTTGACCCATCGAGGTGAAGTATTTTTGAAATTATCCGCTGACAAGTTACTAGTTTTCAAGTGATTGTAGACTCAAGTTTAATTTTTTTTTAAGTGAATGTGAAATACGGTTTTTGTGCCGCACAATTAAAATTTTTTATTTCAAACTGACCTCGGATGCGAAAATTCAGCCAGCTATGCAAGGTAGACAGTTGCTTTTAACCGTCCGTCCCCACCACAGGAAAACCAATGTTTACTTTCACATTTTCTAACCCCTTTGGGTGCCCATGAGAAAACTGATTGCTCACCAATGTTGTGATCAGATATGGATAATATCCATGGATCAATTGACAGCTGTCAAAACAAGGCATTCGCTGACCAGTATCACCTGACCGTATCGCGGGCTCAGGTGTCGACCCATCGAGGTCGAGTACTTTTTTGAAGTTGTCTGCTGACAAGTTACTAGTTTTCAAATGATCGCAGGCTCAAGTTTATTTTTTAAAAAATTCATATGAAATATGTTTTGTTTATGTCACTATGGCCCGCACTATTAAGATTTTGATTTCAAACTTACCTTGGACTCGAAGATTCAGCCAGTTATTTAGAAATAGATGCGGGGAAGACCTCTTCTTGCCAAGGTCACACGCTGGTCATGCTCTATGTCCCATTTTTATGCTCTGATCGGTCAAAATTTTTACACGTGAGTTCATGCGGAAAATTGGAAAATTAAACGAGTCTCACCTGTAAGTTGAAGTTTGATTGAGATTCTATCACATGACCAAGGAGGCAGGAGATCACATGAGATAGCACAGCGTAAGCGTGACTCCTTATTCAAAGCATGTGGGTGTGTCAGAAAGTATGATAGTAAGAGTTGTTTGCAGGCAAACGATGTAATGACCAACAATGAGTGAGGCATGGGATGGCATGTGATCTCCTGCCTCCTTGGTAATGTGACAGAATCTCAATCAAACTTCAACTTACAGGTAAGTCTCGTTTAATTTTCCAATTCTATCACATGACCGGAGGCTAGGAGATCCCATGAGACTTTAAAGCTCTGACACATCCCCAGCAAACATAGAGTACATGTAGCAATGCTTGTATAATAAAATGATTGTAAGTTTTATTGAGCTTAATGAAACAATGACCTTATTCCACCTGAATACATGTAACATTATAAGTTTTGTCATCAGGTTCATGAACAAAGACATCCCGGAACATTGAACTTACAAGAAAATGTAAACATGAACAAGTATAATTAATGGTATCTGAAACATTGGACTACAAATGTTGTTTGTTTGGTTTGAGTTACACCTAAAGAACTGCGTCCGCTAAGGTATGTTGCTGGATGATAGGTTTGTGGTAAAACTTTTGAAAAGTAGCTGGTGACCCCCATCTAGCAGTAACTAGAATAACATCCAGAGGGAGATAGGGAGATCTCTCTCTCTCTCTCCCTTGCTTTGGATGAAGTAGCTGCCCTGATGCTATGAGCAGTGAATTGACTTGTATCAATTCCTGCTGATTCCAGTCCGAGTTTAGCCCATCTAGAAATAGTGTCCCTAGAAACTAGAAGCTGACAAATAGTTTCCTCTCGGTGCCCCTCAAAGGTGCTGTCCTCTTAAGGTACTCTTTTAGTGTGAGGAGGGGACAGAGGGCATTGTCCGCCAGATAACCGTGTATATCGATGCTATTTTTCCTCTTATTGGGTTTGCTGGTCTTGATGTGTTCTAATAGGTCAAATGTACATGACAGTGACGCCATGGTCATACCGTCCAGGCTCAATAGATAAATGGTTTGTCCTCGTTGCCCAGTGGCTAGCAATAATAGTAAGAGAAGCTTTAGTGTTAAGTCCTTTAAAGAGAGCTCTTCCAATGGCTCTAGTGTCTTTAGGTGTTTAAGTACGATGGCAACATCCCAAATGGTTTTGTACTTGGGCTGTGGTTTACGTGTCTCAGATTACTTTTAAGAACCGGGACACCAGTGGATGGGAGCCAAAAGGGTGTGGGCCTTCAATATTGAGGATCAATGACAAGGCAGATCTTGCAGTTTTGATTGTAGAGTAAGTTAATCCTTGATTATATAAAGACATTAGGAATTGAAGTGCTTCACCTGTCTTTGGAGAACTGTGATTGATCTTCCTTTCACGACAAAATACCAGCCACCTTTCCACATAGGTTTTGTACTGTTTTTTAGTTCCTGTCTGCCATGAGGCCATGAGGATGTCGGTAATGTCTGAAGAAAGGTCTTGCTGTGCGAAGGTGTTCCTGGTAAAGGACAGACCATCAGATGCAGGGTTTTGTGTAGTGGATGTGGCTCCTTGAAGTGAGCTTGATGTAGCAGGTTTGGTGATGGTTTGAAAATCCAAGGTTGGCTGTACAGTAGTTGGAGGACAAGTGGAACCAAGTCTGTGTTGGCTACACAGGGATCAGCAATATTCCCTTTTCTTTGTCTTGTATAATCGTTTGTACACACGTCGGGATCAGACTGAAGGGTGGGAAAGCAAAAAAGTTAAAATTGCTCCAGTTTATGGAAAAAGCATCCACATAGGTTCAACCTGGATCTGGTTTCCACGGGCAATAAGTGTCCAGTTGGTTATTAAGCCGACTGGCAAACAGATCAATGTTGAGCTCAGGGATGGTAGAAAATATTTCAAGGAAGTATGCTTTGCTAAGTGACCACTCATGTTTGTCTGGAAGCATTTGACAATTGCATATGGGATTTGTAGTCACCTTTGTTTAGTTCCAGTGCCTGGGTTTTATCAGACTCCAGGGAACGGTAATTTAGAGGCCCATATTCGGCCCCAGGGAAATTTGATACTATAAGCCCAATGACTTGGCAAACTTCTTCTATTGTTGGGTTGGAGTTATTTAGCAACGATCGACAAGCTGTAACCAGCTTTTGAATTTTGCCTTCAGACGGAGTTACTGTCATAGTAATATAGTTAAGGACAAACCCTAAGAATATAAGTTGCTGGGCAAGGATCACAATTGACTTAGTAGGATGTAAGTAAAATCCTAATTTCTTAAACAATGAGGTCGTATAGTAAACATTGTCAAGGCACTCAGATGATGTGTCTCCTTGTAAGTAGGAATCATTAATATAGCCTAGGCTTAGATATCCTAGGTTGTGTAGTGTGGCATAAACTGGTTTTAGAAGTTTAGTAAAAACTCACGGTGCACAGCTGAGACCATTAGGTAGGCAAGTGTACTGATAAAGGCTACCATTAAATATAAATTTGAGGTATTTCTGGTGATCTGTAGAAATGGGTACTGTATAGTATGCATCCTTGAGATCAATAGATACCATGAAGCATCCAGGTGTCATCATATTTATTGCTGTTTCTAAAGTGTCCATTTTAAAATGATGGTATTGTACAAATTCATTGAAAGCCCGCAAATTAAGTATCATCCAGTAAGTGCCATCAGGCATAGGTTCGAGAAATATAGGAGATATAAATTCTCCTGGTTCGTGACATGAGGGTTTTATGACCCCTTTATTGAACACAATAACAACCTTTGCCACAATAGCCTGTTGTACATGATTAAACGCGCTTGACCGTACATTGTCTTGTTCTGGGCTAAACCCTGGAGTGAACTCTATTCTCATTCCTTTGACAAATTCTAATGTTGTGGGGTCTGAGATTACATTGCCTTATTCAGACAATGCGTTGACAATTTGAGCAGCTTTAAAATTTGGTTGGTTGTGAAATAAAGCGTGTAGAGAGTTATCATTGTCATCAACAAGTGTTTGTTTTGCACATACCTTCGTTGGTGTGATAAAGTTTGTTTCGGTTCCCCCTCCTTTTTGTACTTTTATGGTGGAGGACGGCCTTTGGATGAAAAATCATTCCTCAGCCGCTGGTATGGCTGGAAATGACGATTTCCTTGAGGGCCCTGATTGCGTTGAGAGCTCATGCTGAATTTCCTGTTGGGTCCTCGCACGTGTTGCGGCCTTACTTTCCTTGCCAGTTGTTGGCATCGGAGATATCCTTAGTTAGTTTGGATAAGTCTCCAAATAAATACTCTGAGGTAGGAAGAACTGTAGTGTTCTTGAGGAGGGCCGAGTAGTTGCGATGTAGATCTTTCTTCATCGCTTGGCGCCTTGACAAATTCATATCGTGAAAACATTGCATAGCTAAAGTTATGCATCTGTCAAAGTTGACATAATCTCTTTGTTCTGCGCGGTGGCATCTGCATCTTCACTTTCGAGTACCAAAGTGGTCGCTTTTAGCATGGCGACAATTGAGGCAATGAGAGCGTTCTGTGACTTTTGAGATTTCAAGTCACTTGTGCGAGCTTAAGGTGGATATTTGTCAATTCGTGTTTGGACTTTGTACTCTTGGACTTTATCCTTGAGGAAACCGCTCAGGAGCTTTACAAGCCCTTCATCCACATCATTTCCCGTTTTTTCCTCTATGTCGAGGTCCTTTACTATTTCGGCGAGCAGTTTGCTGCCGGAGGCTGTTGCCACTGGGGTTTTGCTGGTTTCACCAGCGTTCGGTTCTTTCCCGCCAACAGGCGTCACAGCCTCCAGCTCTAGCTCTCCGCTGCATTATCTTCATACTCCCCATAATCCATGGGTTCCAGTAGGGAAGCGACAGTTTTTAATTCGTTAATCTCATTCATCACTGATTTGAACATGACAGTGAAGCCTCTGAACGGCTTGGCCAACCCTCGCCTGAGTCGCTCGTATCTTTCTCTGCCATGTTATTTTGTGGCCTCCAACAACGTTGGAGCGCTGGTACTGGTTTTACTAAACTACCATTTACGTTGGTGTGATACTCTGTTTTCTACGGCCTAATAGTTTTCCCAACAGCGTTGAGAAATAGGGCCAATCTTGTGAAAAAGCTCAGGAGCTCGTTGAGAAGACGTTAGTCGCGTTGCAAGCACATGTGCAAACTGAGTCGCGCGTGCACTGTGCTATCTCATGGGATCTCCTAGCCTCCGGTCATGTGATAGAATTTACGCAGCGTTTTGATTCTTGTTTACTTTGACAGTGGAAGCTGGCATAATTTTGTGTCAACTTGTGATGTTTGTAACTGTCTTTTTCCACTGGATGTAAAAAAAATAAAATACAGCTCCTATCAAGAGTCTTCTGTTATTCATGGCTAGTTTGTTTATTGGTTTTTCGGTTGAGCGTCTCTAGTCAAAGTCCGAAATCCGATTTCGGATGTCATCGTTTTCGTTTTTCACCTTGCTTGAAAAGTCTGAAGCGACACTGGCCTTACTTGATAACAAAGATAACAAAGATGTTAGCAGAACTCTAACAGGCAATAGAGGTCATGGAAAGAACAAATGTAAGTAGTCTTTTTGCTCATATTAGAACATCAAAGTCAAAATTTGAGATTTATTCAACTTTTTTTATGTGTAAAGTAGACCAAGAAAAAGTATCTCGGGACGTTCTAGTTAGAACAAAGTTTTTCTCTAAACCCCTGTTACCACTTGTAACCCCCTGTAACCCCTTATAACCCCCTGTCTCCCCATGTAATAGATCATGAAAATAGATCGTGAAAATACGATTTTTGATGTTCTATAAAAAAACAAGCCTTTCTGGACTATGTAAACATCGGTTTAAAAAAACCCGCCGAATTTGCCTTTTTCCAAAGAGATTGGTCCATGCTTTTCGTCAAAATTGTGAGATTTTGTCAACTTTTCGTTTTATACAAAATACACGGAGAAAAAGTATTTAATGATGTTCTCGTGAAAACAAGCGTTTTCAGACAATGGAAAGGTGGATTTAAGCAAACTGCAAAAACTTTATCACTTTGGTAAAAACCTTGACGTTTTTTCATCTTTTCAGTTTACCTATGATAGATTAAGAAAAACTGTTTGCTCACGTTCTAGCTAGAAAAGAAGCTCTCCATGAGTATTACAACATCTGCTTACGAAGAACACAAAATTTGCTTTTTTTTCCAGAGGTAAGTCCATTGTTTTTTTTTTCTTCTTACCCATTGCTACCCTTGTTACCTAGTTACCCTTCCTACCCCTTGTTACCCTTTTTACCACTTCCTACCCGTTATTACCACTTGTTACCCTTGTTACCCCTTATTCCCCCTTCATACCCCTTGTTCCCCTTCTTACCCCCTTTTCCACTTGTTACCCCTTGTTGCCCCTTGTTACCCCTTGTTGCCCCTTGTTACCCCTTGCTCCCCCTTGTTACCCTTGTTACCCCTTATCACCCTTGATACCTTTGTTCCCCCTTGTAACCCCTGTTACCCCTTGTTACCCTTGTTACCCTTTTTACCCCTTGTTACCCTTGTTACCCTTTCTACCCCTTGTTACCCTTGTTCCCTCTTGTTACCCTTGTTCCCTCTTGTTACCCTTTTTACCCCCTGTTACCCTTTGTTACCTCTTGTTACCCCTTGTTAACCCTTGTTAACCTTGTTCCCTTTTGTTCCCTTGTTACCCCTTGTTACCCCTAGTACCCCTTGTTACCCTTGTTACCCTTTGTTACCCTTCTTACCCTTGATAGCGTTGTTCCCCCTTGTTACCCCTGTTACCCCTGTTACCCCTTGATACCCTTGTTACCCCTTGTTACCCTTGTTACCCTTTTTACCCCCTGTTACCCCTTGTTACCCCTTGTTACCC